ACAGAATTTCAGAGTTGGAAGGGACAACAGGGATCTTCTAGACATTCATTCATTCACTCAATAAGCGTTTTTTTTTTTTTAGGCAATTGGGGTTAAGTGACTTGCCCAGGGTCACACAGCTAGTAAGTGTCAAGTGTTTGGTCTGAGGCCGGATTTGAACTCAGGTCCTCCTGACTTCAGGGCCAGTGCTCTATCCATTGTGCCACCTAGCTACCCTAGGGTTTCTTCTTCTTCTTCTTTTTTAAATTATTTTTAAATTAAGATTTTAATGGAATGATAAGCACATTTAAAACACAGGAAATTTAACAAGTACATTCAAATGCTTACATTATACATTTACAACCATGTGAAATGTATGAAGTCATATGTCTATGTATGCTTTATATTTGGTAACTTTGTATAACCAGCACTTACTATGACTATTTTCTAAACACCATTTCATAATATGATCATTTGACAAGTAGTACCGTTTCCCCTGCAAGATACTATAAGTTCTGTTCGTACTGAGAATATTCAACAAAAACCACTTATCCTTAAATGTTTATTTTAAGCTCATGTTCTATCAAGAGAAGTTATTCAATTCGTAACACATGAATTTCTTGGTATCAGGCCAGCTTGTTTGGTGTATAGTCTTCAGTGGCTCATAATAAATGAGGCAGTAGAAAGAATGTAAGGATGAGAATTCTGATGACTTAATTCTTCACACAATAGATGAAATCACAGCACACAGTGATTGCAGATAATTATGCTAAAAATCTGATCATTTTGAAAGCACTCATTTAAAATGCTTAAGTTTGACCATCTTGAGCAGGGCACTAGAACTTCTTCAGCAGGACAGTGACACGGTCAGACCAATGCCTCAGAAAAAAATCACTTTGGTACCTTTGCGTGGAGGCGAGATTGGAGAAGGGAGAACCTGACGACTGGGAAACCCACCGGAGCTTATTTCAAGAAACTAGATGAGATGTGACAACGCCCTGAATTAGGATGATGGTCTTGGGAGTAGACAGAAGGGAACAGAGCCAAGCCAACAGAGTCATTCTCCCTGGTGGAAGCAGAATCAACAAGAATTTTCAAGTCATTATACACTATACCTAAAAATTCTCTTTGTAATGTATAGGGGTAAGTAGTGGTCATTTGTTGTTGTTGTTGTTACTGTTATGATGGTCATTTAGAGTTTGTGTGAAGACCTCTGAGTCGGGGGTGGGCGGGTGAAGGAAGCCACTGAGGTAGCCCATTCTAATTTCTGCCAGCTCTGATTGTTAGGAAGGGCAGCTAGGTGACACAATGGATAAAGTGTTCAAATCTGGCCTCAGACACTTACTAGCTATGTGACTCTGGGTCATTTAACCCTGTTTGCCTCAGTTTCCTCACTTGTAAAATGAAATGGAGAAGGAAATGGCAAGCCACTTCAGTACCTTTGACAAGTAAACCCCCAAAAGAGGTGATGAAGAATTGGAAATGAATGAAACGACTGAATGACAACAAAAAATTTTTAGGAAGCTCTTCAAGCCTAAATTTGCCTCTGGTAACTTCCATCCATCACTGTGAGTTCTGCTCTTTGGAACCAAGCAGAGCAAGTCTAATCTCTCTTTCACGAGACAGTGCTTCTAATACTTGAAGACAACTATCATATCTTCCTTCCTAGTCTTCTCTCCTCAAGGCTAAACATCCCCAGTTCCTTCAAATGGTCTTCATATGGCATGGAATAAAGGCCCTTCATGACTCTCCTCTGGTCATTTCCCACTTTATCAATGCCCTTTCTAGGATGTGGGACCCAAAACTGAACAACCTATGGTCTGAGCAGGGCAGAGTACAATAGTTCTAATAAAATACTTGGTTGAAGAAATTAAAGCTAATGGCTAATTCCCCAGTACAGTAGTCAAAGGATATGAACAAATAGTTCTTTCATTTGCAAACTATTAATAACTATATGAATGTTCCAATTCACTAATAATAAGAAAAATGCAAATCAAAATAGCCCCAAGGTTCCATTTTATACTCTGCAAATTAGCAAAGACAAAAGATGGAAACAGTCAATAATAGAAGTGTTGTAGAGAGGCAGGAACACTAATTTATTGTTGGTGGAGCTGTGAATTGATACAACTATTCTGAAAAGCAATTTGGAATTATGCAAATGAAATTACTAAAATGTCCATACCCTTTGCCTCAAAGATTTCACTGCTAAGCATATGCCCCAAGGATGTCATTGACAAAAAGAAGTGTTTCATATGCAACAAGATATTTATGGTAGGACTCTTATAGTAGCAAAGAACTAGAAATAAAGGAGATGCACATTGACAGGAGACTGTCTAAACTAGAGCTGCACAACTCGTAACTTCTTTGGGCCTCAGATAGGCTAGACTAGAGACAAACTGATAGTTGATTGTCTTGGGTCACACGACAAATAGGAGAGTGTGCAGTGGCAACCCTACATTATTCATGGGCCACAGAAGTCGCATGCAGTCCTTAGGTTGTATGTTGTGCAGGCCTGTCTAAACAAGTCTATGTGCTATAAGAAATGATGAGCATGATAAATACAGAGGACAGAGAGCCTCATGTGAACTGATCAAAGTAAACAGCCCAGTCAAACAATATACACAATGCGGAATATAAAAAGAAAAAAAAAACACTACTAAAGAATTAAAACTGGGGCAGCTAGGTGGCACAGTGGATAGAGCACCGGCCCTGAAGTCAGGAGGACCTGAGTTCAAATCCAGCCTCAGACAAACACTTGACACTTACTAGCTGTGTGACCCTGGGCAAGTCACTTAACCCCAATTGGCTAAAAACAAACAAATAAATAAAAAGAATTAAAACTGAATGCTATGAAATTATAAAATACAAGATTGGCCCCCAAAAAGGGACATGAGAAGAAACTTCCCCCTGCTATTCTGCAGAGGCTAGAGTCCAAGTGTGGGAAGGAACATCGCATATAATATCAGACTTCTTAAAAAACGTGTTTTAATAATTTTTTTCCTCTTCCTCATTTTCTTTCTTTCTTTTTTTAAAATGCCTTTGTTTTAAGGGATAACTCTTTGGAAAGGGGTAGAAGAGGGATAGAGGGGGAAATCTGGGCAATGTATAAACAAAAGATATCAATAAGATATATTTAAAATAAATTAATGGCTAAAAATGGGTCTCTTTGGTGATTAATGCACTTCATTCATCCACACTGCTGTAGTCCCCTATTGCTATAAATAGATTCCATGTGTGCTCTAAACAATGGCCACTAGAAGCCATAGCTAAGAATGTTCAGTCCTAGTGTGCCCACGGCTCCAACTGGAGGAGGGCTTTTATCAGAAGGAGCTCCGGCAATAGCCTAGTCTTCAGGCCCTACGTAAATTAAAATCATAGCATGAGTTACTTTCAGAAACAAACCTACCAAGAGCTGGGCTGTAGATATGCTTTCTGATTTAACCATTCCATGGAATTTGTTTTTCTTGAATGAATATAACATCTGCCCTTAGATCAATAAACGGTTTCCATGTTGTTATGATACCATGGTAACCTTGTGCAGTAAAAGACACAAATCTAATGGTGTACTAACTTCCTTTCATCGGAGCACACACAGTTTCCTCTTTTTCTACAATGAGTCACTTTCCCCCGTTCACTGGGCTGATAATCCAGAGAGCTGAGGGATGGCTGTGGTGATGTCGTTAGGACTGGACTGAGCTGTTTACTCAGTGGTCAGGATTCCCTATAACAGCAACGTCCCAGATTCCTCCCACTGCTCTGTTCCTCAATTCTGGTGGTTTTATGGTCCTAGACAAAATTTCTTCTGATAAAGTACAGACTATACTGGCCTCACACATTCAAGTCAAATCAAGTCAACAAGCGTTTATTAAGTACTTATTACGTGCCAGGCAAATTTGATCCTCTGAGATCCTTTCCAGTTCTGAGATTTTGTGTTTCCTTCCCAGCCATCCCATCATCTTCACTTCCCCCTACTGGAACCTTGAACTCCATCTCCGGAACCAGCCTGGGCTCTGATAGGTCAGCTTTGACTCATCTTGTTTGGATCCTGGCCATCTCCACGCCATGCCTGGCAAATGTACCCTCCTCTCCTTTTCCATCTCCTCTTTATGTACTATCTTCTCCCTTTAGAAAATGTAAGCTTCTTGAGGGCAGGATCTGTCTTGCTTGTTTATATTTGTATTCCCATAATTGACAGTGCCGGGCACTAGAAGAAGCTAGGTGGCACAGTAGATAGAGTACTAGGCCTGGAGTCAGGAAGACCTAAGTTCAAATCTGACCTCAGTCTCTTACTAGCTGTGTGATTCTGGGAAAGTCACTTAACCCTGTTTGCCTCAGTTTCCTCATCTATAAAATGAGCTGGAGAAGGAAATAGCAAACCACTCCAGGATCTTTGCTAAGAAAACCCCACAGACAATACTGACATGCTAAGGTCCACAGGGTCAGGAAGAGTGGAACGTGACAGAGTAATCAAAACAACAGCATTAGTAAATGCCTAATAAATGCTTTACCTATCTTTCCCATGATCTGGGCATTTCCCTGTTTCAGTTGGTGGCTCTTGGCCACTTTGACACCCCTTTGTGGTGTGGTGCTTACTCCCACTTCTCAAAGGCTTTACTAGTAGAAGGCAAGGTCTGGCAAGGTCTGGCAAGGCCAACCAAGCTGGAATGACTTAAGAGTATGGACCAGCCAATGGACCGTGTGAGAATCTGCCCAGCAGATTTTGAAGAGGCCCGTCTCCAGAGGGTTGGTCACCAGGGGATGAACTATTTGGAACACAGAAGCTCATGAAGAATGTGTACTAAGGTATTAGTAGGGGATGGATATCTGCTTCATTGGAAAGACTGATCGAATGAATCACAGGTCTTTGGGAGCACTAAAACTGTCAGAACACATGCAATGTTAGGCTGGAAAAGCTCTTGGGAAGGGAAACCAAAATGCTGGATGTAAAGGCTGCAAAGTCAAAGAGAACAGAGGACCCCCGCCATCAGGACTCTGTGAAGGTCTGTCTCTCAGTCACTTACCTAGCGCTCCTTGACAGATGTCCGTGCGGGTTGCTCCTTCAATAATAAACTGGGGATCGGAACAGATCTCCTGAGAACAAGAGCCATGAAGTACCGTTAGCGGTAGTGTTCTCCCCCGCCAGGGTCCAATTACCATCTAATTAAGCTGTTTAATTTCTTATCAGGGGAAACCCTCCCTTGGGGGCGTGATACCTACAGGACTTTTAGGCATTATCTTGTATGGTTTAGTCAAACAGCGATTGGTCAAGAATATGACATGATGTTAGGTAAGTCTTGGTCTTTGCCCTCCTGGACCTTATCCCTCTCCTGGAGGATAGGACTGAAGCACAAACAGCTACCATTTCTATAGTATATATTATTTCACATATGGTATCTCATTTGATCTTCACAGGTGAAGTGCTATTATTATTCCTATTTTATAGATGAGAAAACTGAGGCTGAGAAAGGTTAAGTGACTTTTCTAAGGTGATACAGCTAATACGTGACTGAGGCAGGATTTGAACTCAGGTATTCATGATTTAAATCCAATAAAATGTCCACTTTGCCATCTAGTTGCCTAATAAATATAATGCCTCAAAAAATTACATGATAAATGAATCTGAGAAGTGCAGAAAAAATGATCTATGAGGACATAGGGAAAAATATCATCAGTCACTGAAGGGACTAGGGAAGGCTTTATGGAGGGGGTGGCATATGATTTCAGCTTAAAAGGATGGATAGGAATTCAACAGGTAAAGAAGTCAGAGTAGAACATTCTAGAAACAGGAAAAAGCATGATCAAAAATACAGGGGCAAGAGTCTGAAACGTGCATGGGGGATGGCAAATAGTTCAGTTCTGCAGGAGCCTCCAGTATGTAGAAGGGAGTACTAAATTAAGAGATAAAGCCCCAAAGGAAAAGTGGCACCAAATTGTGGGAGGCCTTGGATGAGAGGTAAAAGAATCATAACTTTTAATTGCCTAAGTCATAGGGAGCCAAAGAGAAGTTTGAGCAGAAGAGTGATGGGACCAGATTTGTACCTAAGGAAGATTTGTGTGGCAGCAGCACGAAGGAGGCAGTGAGAGCATAATAATAATAATAGGTAACATTTATATAGTAAGGTTTGCTACTGTTGTTCAGTCATTTCAGTCATGAAACCCCCTTTAAGGGTTTTCTTGGCAAAGATATTGGAATGGTTTGCCATTTCCTTCTCCAGTTCATTTTACAGTTGGGGAAATTCAGACCCTTGTCCAGTGTCACACAGCTAGCAAGTGCCTGAGGCAGGATTTGAACTCAGATCTTCCTGACTCCAGACCCAGCTCTTTTCCATGGTGCCACCTAGAATCAGGAGGAACAGACAAAGATGGCTTGATGCAAGGAAAAGCTTCCTACCAATTAGAGCCACCTCCCAAAGTAGAATGGGCTACTTAGGGAGGAAGCAGGTTTCCTTCCCTTAAAAGTTTTTAAGCAAGAGCTAGACTGCTTGACACGTCTTTTACAGAGGGGATTCTTTTTTCATGTAGAGATGATCTCCTGTCATTCCCTTTAATAACAACTCACTTTTTTTTTTTTAGTAGCTCATCTTCCCATAGTGTTCTACAATGTACAACAACCCTGTGAGGCAGGCTGTGTAAGTACTGTCATCCCTTTTTACAGATGAGGCTGAGAGAGGGAAGTGATGTGTCCAGTCACACAACTGTCCGAGTGCTTGTCTCCCATCTTGACTCTAATGGCCTTCTTCCACCTGCTCACGCCCCCTCCCTCCACTTTAACATGCTAACCTCCCCCAGTGGAATATAAGCTCCTTGAGAGCAGGGACTGTCTTTCTTTTTGCCTGTACCCCCAGAATTTAGTGCAATGCCTGGCATATACTGAGTGCTTAAAAAATGCTTGCAGACTAGATGAGCCAGTAGCTACTTAGCTTCTTCTGACTCCCACTCCAGTGTCCCCTTTATTACACCACACATACACTTTTCCTTTGCCTGAAATCCTCTCTTCTCCCCTTTACCGACCTAAATCCTTACCCATTCTTTGCTAAGTCCTCCCTCGTCTTTTCTGTTTCTTTATTAATCTCCCTCCCCTCTGAGAATGTATTGTCTGTACCTTTACCACTTCTATACTGTACAATTGGGTATCATTCATTACAGTTTTCTGTGCATGTTATAGTTGAAAGAATGTTTGAATTTGAGTCAAGAGAGATCTGTGTTAAAATCCTGCCTCAGGCACCTGCTAGATTGTGTGACCCTGGGCAAGTCACTTGACCGCTGCCTGCCTCAGTGTCCTCAACCATAAAATGGGGATAAAAATATCACCTATCTCCCAGGGTGGTTATGAGGCTCAAATCTACTGTTTGTAAAGTGCTTTGCAAATGTTAAAGAGTTATAAGTGTGAGGTATTATCAATTCTAATCTTGTTTCTTAGGATGGTAGAATGTAAGCTCCCTGAGGGCAAGAACTGTCTCATTTTTAGATTTGCATTCCCTCCTGTCCCCTCCCCCAACTAGAACATTGCAAGGATTTAA